TATCTACTGCAGTGTGCTAATCCTTCAATAGTTCGGCTCAGCATGCTCCTTTCTAGTTTAGTCACAAAAATATCAGCTAGTAACGGACCGAGTGGGGATTCCATGGCAACCCCGTCCATCTGACGTTAGGCAGTACCGTTAAATAGAAACTGGATGGTACGTATGCAGCGTAACAACAGTTCCTTTAGGTTTGTGACCGGAATACATTACATTTACATTCAGCATTTCTATTTGATCGCAGATGAATTCCACTGTCTCCAGTAAAGGTACATTCGTGGATATGAATTAGATATGATTTCGTTTTTGTCTGTGAGACCGAACCGTAAACGGCTTACGATGTTACGGAGTGTAATTTTTAAACGAAAATGAAACTGAAATAAAAGCAAACCACCGCAAATCGAATTTCCGGACACATCCGTATCATAAAATCACAAACTGTTTTCCCCAGAAATATCAGTTACCTAGGAAATTTTCCTGATCTTAATTTCGTCAAGAATGCTTCAATTTCTCTCCCTCTCTCTGTCTCCCGCAGATGCCGAATCAGACACTTATTCAGAGGATTCTCACTTTCATTCCACTATGGGGTCAAGAAGTGCTCGAAATAGCAGTCGTCAACGCCGTCTTTTTCGAAGCCGCGTACGGAATGGTCAAAAATTGTCGTTGCGCCACTCCAGTTCACCAAATCTTCCTCAGGGAAACTGTATAGCCTGTGAGGATGCTTCGAGTTCAGTTTCGCCACCGAATTCACAAAACATCAAAGCGTCTACTGACGAAACCACCCCTCGGATATCTCACGGTCCTCGTACACTTTCCGATCCGGTTCGGTTCGGTTATCCTGCTAAAGTATTAGCCAACATAGACGGCTACACCATTCCTGCCAATCCTGATCCTACATTGTCGTATGCTTTCCCGCGAATACGACGATCCAGTGCATCTACGGAGTTGAATGCTTTATTGGAGTTGGTTTCTTCGGTAGAAACGTTCCGCCAACGTCTAAATGAGCACACCAACTTGGTTTGCACACAACTGTCGGCTGTCGAAAACTTATTGTCAAATCCAGAAGCAGATCAGATATTATCGAACCTAGCACGCGCTCAACCAAATCCAAATGATTTAAAGACATTGGGCACAACAGATCCCAAACAGCTCGCTTCTCGCCTGCTGATCACAGTTAAAGAAAATCGAGCCAGCGTGAAGGAGTTTTACGCGGTAAGACACAGACAGTATCACGTCATGCCTGTCGTTATTTCGGAGAACAAAAAGGACATTAGTCGACACAAACTTTGGTCGTTTGCTGGATTTTATTGCCTAGTTCTGTGGTTTTCTGTAAAACAAAACTTTTTGAAATTTCGGTGCACCACGACACATTACTGATCGACCACGAGTGTGTGAGAGAGAGGTGTTACACTAAACTGTTGTTTGACCTTCACAGTGTATGTACTCTAACACTCCTTCCCATCTACGCGATTCAGTAATTGACTGGGTTTCAATAACTGTAACTCTTTCATCAAAATTTTGTCCAAAATGCGACCGCGTAGCAATCTCTCTGGCTTTCACGTGGGAGCGTGGTCCCGAAAGGAGTTCGTTCGAGACAAACGATTTGCAAATCAGAAGCTTTTAGACAAAAACAACAACCACTTAAAAATTTCGGTATCTTAGTCCATATACTACTATGCTCATTGCCCCCAGTGTACTGGTTGGCTCAGTCCTAATTATTCCCGCTAAAAGCCAAATAGGAATGGGATTCTTTGTATTTTTGTATGCTCATTACAGCCATATGAACGCATAATGGAAGTCCGAAAAGTCTCTTATTTGTTAAGATGCACTTTCATACCGTAGGGGCTGGAAATCCTAGCCCTAGGGACAAGCTAAAGTTATTGCAGCAAGTAGGCCTGATATGGAGTTTTTATTTAGAACAAAAATGTATAACACCAAAGTGATCGTTGATTGCAGTTATTGTTAGTGGACTAGGCATGAACTACAATCTATCTGTCTGTCATACAATTTGTTGTGGCTGTCTTTTAGAATTTGGAACTTTATTAGCCTTCAAATAAATTGCAATCAAGGCAGACAGACAGATAGTGGAAACGTAGAAAAGTTGTCTGCTTTGTATTCGTGTGGAATTTCAATAATGTAACTGATCTGGGCGGTGGTCGTTCGGTGGTAACATCACCGAATCCCCATTTCGGAGGATGTGTTCGAATCCTACCACCACTGCCTGACTTTCCCCGTTTGTGTGTTGCGTGGCAGCCCTTTGGTTAGCCACTTCCTCTTTCCTAAAAATTGTATTTTTGTATGATTAATAAAAGGAAGTAAAAAGAGAAAAGAAAAGGATGATGCCCCTCGTGCCCCCAAAATAGCCTGACCTATTTTGCATTTACGTGTAGATTTTGCTCCTTGAAAGTGTAAAATTTTGCTACAGAACTGGGTCGGTCCAGCTCCCAATCTCACCCTGACTGGGGAAGTGATAGATGACGTGGAAAAAGTTTGCTATCTGGGTTACTTTATCTCACCCGGCGGACGCGCGGCGGATCAAGCGTCAGCTCTCATGAAGAAGGCTTTTACCAATTTAAAACATCTGTGGTATCGTCGCAACATCCGGCTGTCCGTGAAGAGGAGAGTGTATGCTGTAGCAGTTCGGCCAGTTGTGTTGTACATATACCAAAACGGGATAGAGATGGATTGTTGTTATTCGAACACCATTTTGCATATATATATATATATATATATATATATATATATATATATATATATATATATAGTTTTTGTGTTCTCATTTTTTCTCTTGGATTGATATTCAAAAATTGCCTTCCATCCTCCAATTATTGAGGAACGTTTGCCTAATTCCCGACTACGATGTATTTTGCCCCTAGCAAACAGAAATTACGTGTATCTTGATTATGATATTGGAAGGTTTTACACCAGTTTA